TAGTAAAGTTCGTGGACAAAATTCTGCGGGTCTAGCATATCATGTGCAATCACCTATGACAGCTCCAATTTCATTAAACAGATCAGCTCCAAATAGACAGAGCGTTTCTGGATTTCCTTTATCAGCAAACTCAGCTTTTCGTCCTACAGGCCAATCTTTAAATACACATTCTGCTTCTACAAGTGCAAGTATAAATGGACTTATTTCTCCTAATAATATAGATGATGTTCGATCCGGTAGAATTTCTTCAAGTCCTCTTCCTAGTCCTAATCCATCTCGTATATCTATGTCTGTTAGAAACACAACGTCAAATGGAGAACAACCATCCAAAGAATCTTTTATTCATCTTTTTGATTCATTTTATGATACAGTAGCTGACACTCGTTCACTTAAAACCACACTTGAAGATCAAATTCGTAAGACCACTACCCTTCTTCAAACGCTTCAAGCTTCAGGAAGTATGATTGAAAGTTTAGTTCGTGGACATTTTCGTGAAATGCAAAGGGAAGTTGTCAATGATTTGATGACTTTAGAGAAACGCCTTTCAAAGGTTGAAGAACGTATACGTAGTAGCGCAGCTGTTGTAGGAATGGGTCCAAGTCCTCCGTTAGATCCAGATAGAAGACTAAGCGACATTAGCACAACATGTAGTGATATAGGACTTAGTCATAATAAGGACACTTCCACCTTAACTCAAGATGCAGATAATAGTTCATCGCAATATTTATCTGTTAGTCAACTTACTAACTCTAGTCCACCATTGTCTGCTGTTTCTTCAAGTAGTGGTTCTGAGGAGTCTCAAACCAAAGATTATCAAGATATTTTGAGTGGTTTGAAAGCCCGGTTAGAATTGAATGTTCATCATTTGGTGACGTTGTTGAATTTACTGTAAAAAATTCAAACTCTGCTTCTACAGCAGGTGTACGACTTATCTCAACACTTTCTAATAATTTATCGGCCATTCCCGATATTATTTCTGATCGACCATAACTGCAAAATTCGGCAAGCAAATGATTTCCTAATATAGTTCCGGTTTCCCTTATAGCACAAGCAGCTAAATATATATCACCAGAACGTTCATAGAAACAATATCCAGGTGTATCAAAATATATTTGAGGAATCTTTCCTGATTTATGTATGAAGCCTATTTGTGATTCAAAAAATATAACATCAATGTCCCTTAAACGATAAAATGGTTTATATAAAGTAGTCCTTGAAAGAGACGGAGAGGAAGCCACCAAAGGAAATAAGTATAGAAAAAATGGTTGGTGGTTGGCATATACACCGAGTTGAAGTCTTGTAACTTTCATGGTGTAAAAAACTGTAAAAATAAAAGGAATGTAGAAATTAGTTGGAAATGAAAAAAAAAAAAAAAAGAATAAAGGAAGAAAACAAAGATAAAGTAGCGGATAAAAAGATATGAGAAAGTTTTTCGGAATTAAGGAAAAAAGAAGGTAGAAAAATAAAGGAGGGTATTTCAAAGTTAAAAGACTGTGTGATCCTGAAGCAGGCCACAAATGAGTTTAAAAAACAAACCAAAAATTGGGTTTGAAAAAGAGTAAATGAATGGAAGGTTATGGCACGTGCAAAACAAAGTCCTTTGAACTTGAAAGAAGATGAAATAACCAGGAGTAATTTTGTTTCAAAAACTAAAATTCGTTGATTAAAAAACTGGAATCGAAATGTTTTGTCCACAAAGTTTATTATTTAAGGTTACTCAAGGTTAATAACTTTACCCAATTGTGTTATAGTGTTCTGGATATATGTGCAAAAATCTGAAGATCATTATTAAATGTTCGGCATTGAACATAAACAAGCTGATAAATGCTTCAAGATATTTACTTGAAATTGAGATTCAAAGTTTCAATTTTAATGAAATTAATAAACGGAAAGGGTTTTATAAATGAACATGCGACTGATAAGAAATACTTTCTGATTCCGCAAATCTGAAACAAATTCATAAAATGATTGTGACCAACCACGGATAATTATTGTTACATTAATTGATTAATTGCAAAGTTTGATCGTTACAAATTTATTCAAACTTTACGTTCCTTTATTCTTAGATTTTTTCTTTTTCTTCTTTTTCTTATCTCTTTCAGCCAGATATAATGATAAGAAATCACTTCCCAATTGCTTCTTAGAATTCGTTATTGTTGTTATTGATGATACGTCATCGCTACTCGACGAGTCAACCTCTAAACACAAGGAGTTTAGCTTTGATTTCTTTGAGACTATAGAAGCTTTACTATCTTCTTTTAAATCTTCTCCCTCTTTTTCATTTTTGTTTGTACGTTTCAAATTCTCCTTTTTTGGGATCATTGGATATAATGAAACTCCATCCTCGCCAACTTTTCGAAAATTCTTTTGTGTTAATTTACGTTTAAGTATCATCTCTGAAACTGCCTTATCCTTAATCCCATTCATTCCAATCCTGAAAAAAAAATTTTGTTTGAATTAAACTTCGAGAATTGTAAAAGTTTTAAAATTATTATTAGTTGATATACCTAGAAGCATGACGCTCTTGAATTGACTTGGTTAACTCTTTTTGTCGTATAAGTTCTTCTTTTTCTTCTTTTGCCTCTTCTTCGGGATTTGGAGGTGGTAACCAAGAATCAACTAAAGAAGAAACCATATCGAAAGAAACATCTAATTTAGTTCGTAATACCTCTAATTCTTCAAAACGTCCTTGTGAAATAGACATATATAAAAGAACCGAGAAAAATTCTAAAAATTTAAGGTTTACCTTTTTGGCTAAATTAAAGTTATAAATATGTCAGAGAATTTACTATATTTGGTAAATAAGCTATCGCCACAGTAAATTTGTCAACTGCACGTGATCTTGATACCGATTTCTAAAAATGGAAATAAACCGGTAACAAAAAATTGCTTCAAATTTTTTTAACAAATTTAAAAATTTAACTTAATAATTAATACTTTTTAGGTTATTTACCAATAAAATGTGTTTAGTTTTACCCTTTCATATTCTTGATATTGTTAATTGACATTTATATTCTTTTATTTGCTATGAAATTTTTCAAACTTTCAAAGATATATTCTTGTATTTTTATTAGTTTTTCTATTATCTTTTGATTAATATAACTAATAATTTTAAGTTTTTTTTTTTAAATTGCTATTACATTTTCTTTAAAACATAAAAGAAATTATATAATATCAAAAATGATAAAATCTGTAGAAACTTTATTACTTTATTATTTTATTGCTAGAATAAGATTACTATTGATATAAAGTTCTTCTTATATTAGTATTATATTTTTCATTAAATTTAATAATAACTTATATGAATCAGCAAGTATTTTCACTTTCTTGTTTTAATAAATTTCTATTTGATTTGCATTAGTATTAATACTAAATTTTTTAATTAATTATTATATCCTTTTTTTTTATATAAAAATACTTTATATAATTGAGTAGATTATCAGTCAATATTACATTTAATGAAAAGAATATATATTTAATTAGTATCTCTTTTTTTTCTAAACAAATGTAAAAAAGTGTTCAATTGTAATAAAGAATTTACTTTATAGATTAATAGTGATGATAAAGCTATATATTATGAAAAACTAAAAGACTTTGTAATTTTAAGATTGCTAAATATAAAACTAACTATATATTTTGTAAGATAAATTACTAAATTAATAAAATCAAAATTCTGTATTTATGAATTTTCATAAAATTATTAGTATTATATAATAATGTTAATTATACTTCATATTTTTTTAATTTTTTTCTAGCAAAATATAAGCATATAAAATTATGTAAAAGTTTAGTTAACCTTTCTTTAAAAAATAAGATATGTATACGCTAAAAGTTATGTTATATACAAATAAAATTTCTTATTATAGGCCTTATATTTAAAAAGTAAGATATCTTTTAATTTCATTTTAGTTAATAGTTTAAAAAAATATAAAATAAAAAGTTTTATCAAACTTTTATGAAAATATTTTAAATAAAAATACATAGAATTTGATAATAGTTTTTTTATAAAATTTAAGAAAGAAAATTACCAGTCATTTATTTTTTAAGGTGAAAATTTAAAATATACAGATAGTATTAAGATAAACATTAAAACTTAAAGATTATATTAAGAAATTATATGAATAATTTAGCAAAAAGATATTTTGTATAACATTATAATTATCTGATAAATATTATTTTTAACAGTTATTATCTTTAGTAATAAATGATTAAAAAAAAAAAAATTTAACAGAATATCTCACTTCTAAAAACAATATTTTTATTTATATTATATAGTAGTAAATACTACATATTCAAAATTTTTTGTAACAGTTATTACTTTAGTAGTAGAAATATTAAAGTCTGTAACCAGACTAGTCTGACTCTAATTTGATTATAGAATTGGTTTCAATTTGATTTGAGAATCAAATCAAACTGAAACTGAACTGAGTCAAATCAGTATTTAGACTAGTTTAGACAATTAATCTATATAAATGCTGTGTCATGTAAATTATAAGATGCAATGATCATTTTAACTAGAATAATTTTTGTTTTGTATTATTATTTGTATTGTATAATATCTAACAGCATAATTTCAAATGAAAATGATGATATTTTCTCAGATGTTTCTTCAATTTCTTTAGCAACTGAAAAAGATTTTAATATAATAACTCGCAAGTCAGATATATGAAAATTTTTTTTTAAAGTTCAAAATGAAAAAACTAGACTAATAACAAGTTATAAATGCATATTATGTGTTAAAATTTATTCACCTGGTAATCCAATAACTACCCTTCAAAACATTTAACTAAAAAACATTCATTTCATTATAAAAAAACTAAAAATCATTAAATTATTTTGAATGAAACGCACTTCAAACCCTATTTTTTATTACAATCCAACTCTATTACAAATTTATTGATTAATTTTATTGCAACTGATTTACAACCTTTTTCTATTGTTGAAAATACTAAATTCAAATTGTTTATTAATAATTTGAATCTTCAATTTATTTTACCATATAGACAAACTTTAAAAGAAAAATTGTAAAAAATTATGATACAAAAAGAAATGATTTAATAGGCGAAATTTTAACAAATTAATTTGAAAATATCTCTCACAATAGACATATAGATATTAGATCTAAAAGATTGTTATCTTAAAATCACAATTCATTATATTGGAAATTGAAGAATCTTTTGCATAATATATTCTTATAAATAGTTCTCATAGAGCTGAATTAATTATAAGCAAACTTTCATAACTTTTTGAAGAATTCAATATTAGTCAGAATATTCTTGCTATGACAATAGATAATAAAAGCAATATTATAGCATATGGTAATCAATTAGTAACTAAATTAAATCAAAATTTTAATAATATGTCTTTTATTTATTTTTGATATACTGTTCATATTATCAACTTAGCAGTAAAAGTTGAAATAAAATATATAGGAGTTGAAATCAAAAAACTTTGTCAATTTGTTGTTAAATTAAAAAAATTCACTACTATTATTAGATAAATTATTAGAAATTTGTACTATTAGAAAAGTTAAATTTTTAAAGCCAATTTTAAATATAGATATGTATTAGAATTCTACATATTTGATGATTACTAGACAAACTTTAATGCAGAATATTTCTGAATTACTTGTAATAATAAATCCTGAAGATCTTGATAATTTTTTTCCAACAATTTCTGAATGATATTGTATTAAGGTATTTATTATTTTATTATTTTATTATTATAATTAATTAATTATTATTTATTTATTTTATATTTATTATTTATTTTAGGAATTATCATTAATTTTACAACCTATGTATGAAGTAATACAATTATTATCATCATCATTAAATCCTATACAAGGTGATATTAGATTAGTTTTTATTAGAATATTTAAAAAATTGAATCAATATTAAAGAAGAGGTCATCATACACAAAAAGAAATAAAATTAACTATTTACAACTAATTAAAAAAATATTAGGATGATCATTTAAATTTCACTTCT